ACAGCAGATTTATACCAGAAAATATAAATAATTTATAAGTAACAATGATCTAAACCAGACCTGAAGTCAGCCTGTAACTTAGACTTTAGCTAGTTTAAAAATGATGACTTCAGCTGTAATAAAATATATTTAATATTTCTTCTCACTGCCATAAAAAATAAGAATATTTATGTTTACCAGTCAACAGTTAGAAAATGTTCTCTGGTTATAGGATGAAACTTGTCTCTATTAGCTAACATCTTCTTAACAGGTCAGGTCATTTATAATATTATTTTACTCTGTGGGTCTAAATATTAATCAGACATTTATAATATTATTTTACACTCTAAATATTAATCAGAGGACAAAGTAATATTTAATAGTTTGTGTTAAATTGTAGCATGATTCAACAGAGCTAAACTCTGTATATACGTATGCTCCACAAGCTAATATCTTCTAACCAGTTCAATAAATAACAGTGATTACATGGACTTTATAAGATTATTTTAATTTTAAACTGTTACATTATGTTCTGCTCAGATCACATTGAGCTAAATAAGATCAAATCTGCTGACTTGTGTTGTAAAATGAGACATTTTCGTGTTTATCTTCTGTTAATAAATCCATAACACAAACAGCTTTTCTGACATTATTTAAAACATTAGATAGATTATATAAACTGTAAAATATTAATAATAATTGATTTAATATTATTATTAATAGTTTTTTTATGATTTCTCCACCGTCAGTCCTTTTTTCTGCTCTGTTGTCAACATGTACAGTAATGGTAAATCCAGACTCTTGACCGTTTTGTGTTAGCGTTAGCTTCACCAGTCGATCACATGGTCACGTGGTTTCTGCGCACTCCAGCTGTTATATAGGACCTCCTTGGTGACCACTCATTTCTGACAGATTTCAGGAATTTGCAGCCTTTGTGGTGTACCCTCTGAAGGCTGAAACATTATTTAGGTAGACACACGTGTGTGTATGTTCTGCTGCAGAGGACGTGCAGCGAAAGTTTCTGGTTTAGTGTGTCACTGAAAAAACAATCCGCTCCAAAACAAGAGCAGAAGCCTGTTGGAAAAATTATGATGGATTTATAAGCACAAACAATCAAGTCCAAGTCTTTTCTTACATCGCCACAGGTAACAAAAAAAATAAAACTTTTTTTTTCTCTTCTGACTCCAGCGAGTAAACAGCTACGGTTCTATGCACGACTTACACAATGGGAGGGAGGGGGAATATTTCAGTAATATACAAGAAAATACTGAAACATGGTTATAAATCCATTTCTAAAGCTGTGGGACTCCAGTGAACCACAGTGAGAGGCATTGTCAACACATGGTTAAAGCATGAAACAGTAGTGAACCATCCCAAGAGTAGTCGGCCGACCAGTATTACACAGGAGTGCAACGACAACTCATCCAAGAGGTCACAAAAGCTCCAACAACAACATCCAAAAAATTGCAGGCCTCACTTGTCTCAGTTAAGGTCAGTGCTCATTAGGGGTGCCCCGATACAACTTTTTCACTTCCGTTACGATACCGATATTGCAACTTTGAGAAATGGCCGATACTGATACTGACCAATACCGATATTGACCCGATACCATATCAGTACGAATCACACACTTTTATCTTTTTTGTGGTGTGAAATCTTAGAAAACTCTTCATCAAATCAAACAGTGAAAAAAGTAGGTATGAGAAAAACTGGCTAATTTATTTTTAACCAATGGATCACATACATTTTAAACAGAAGAAATTCTACAATTTAATAAATAAAATAAATTAGAATACCCTGAAAAATAAAACATAATAAAAACAAAATATTATTTTAAAGTGTAAAAAACAATTCAAAGTCACTCCAGTAATTTTTTTTACCATCTGTTAGCCTGGTGCTGCTTTATGATGGGAACAACTGAAGGTGGGGACAAAACAAAAGCCCACATTATTGTCTGTTCAAAGTTAAGAGTCCACAGCTCTAATTTTACTGACTGTAACCAAAACAACATGATCATTGCACTTTATCTTCACTCAAACAAGTGTGTAAACAGATTAAACATCACTCTAATAACAAGAGCAAAAAATAAATAATAAGAATTAGTCAGTTAATTAAATTGATAGCTACCTTTCTTATTGCTGCATTTCCACTTTCTACAGTCTGAGCATCACGTGGAGACTCTCGCTCCTGCAGGGAGCAGTTTTTATGCTGCGTTCCAGTTGTATCGCAACTTGAAATTCTGAAGCCGGACTGACGTCAGTTCCGATCTGATAGAGTTCCAGTTTCAAACATCGGAAAAAGCGTTTCTATTATTTTGCCTTGCAACAATAAAACTTACAATAATAGTGCTCTATGAGGTATTTTGAGTGTACAAACAGTGTTAAAACATATATTTTAACTATCACTATAAAGCACTACAAGTACGTCTGACATAATGTAAAATAAACAACACGGAAATGCTAAAGAACATAAAAGTAAAGAGTTTCATGCGCACAGCAGCCAAGTTGAAATGATGACGTAATGCATGCTCGGGCTGCTCGGTATGGTTTGGATGTGCCGACTTCTCGACTCGAAACTACGACTTCAGGGGACGTTCCAGTTGAAAAATAGAACTCGGAGGCTCAAAGCTACGACCTGTCCTCGGTGAGGACAACTGGAACGCAGCATTAGCACTATGAGCTCGTATTACAAAAAACAAGCAGCGCTCTCTTTTCTTCTCTCAATCAATCCCTGAGCTAATCCACGGGCAGCATTCTGCTGATGTCAAATTCATAAGCGTGCTGTTCTCGCTTCTAGAACCAATGCGGCTGTGCGCAGTTGGAACCATGGAAACACAGAGAACCGAGGACTGAACCAAGCCGAACCACATAGCTGCTGCCAGGGTGGAGAGTAGAGCCTGGCTGTCTCTCCGGTTTGAAACGAACACAGTTCTGTGCCCCAAACTTGAGCATGACAACTTTGCACTTAGCTTCAACTCTGTTTTTGATGAAAATAGAAAGTTCTGCCGACATCGCTCCCACTACTTGCTCATTTGTTAGCGCAGCATGTTGTTGTGATCATGTGGGCTCTGCGTGCTGGAGCCAAGCGCTGCTGGATAGAAACGCTGGAGCGGACTGGTGGAACAGACTAATCAGAGTGCTTCTTTACTGGAGATTTTAGATGCAGGCCGATAAAATCCGATAGTTGTTTTTTGGCTGATATGGGACAGATATCCGATATCAATATTGGATCAGGACACCCCTAGTGTTCACGTCTCCACCATAAGAAAGCTACTGGACAAAACTGGATTGCATGACAGAGTTCAAAGACAAAAAACACCACTGAGCAAAAAAACCTCAAGACTTGTCTCAGTTTTTCCACAACAAGACTTTTCAGAGAATACTCTGTGAACTGTTGAAAAGTTAAACTTTTTGGAAGGTGTAAGTCAAATTACATTTGGTGTAGAAATAACACACAACATTTCAGAAAAGGAGCATACCACCAGTCAAATATGGTGATGATAGTGAAGGAAAATTTATTTAGTATTAAATGAATTTAAAGAGTAACTTACCCCAAAATTAACTTCTTTTAGCTGATAAACTGTCTAGAATGTGTCTAAAATGTTATATAGTACTGTTTCTGTGCTAATTTTGATGTTTTTTTGTGCGTATTTGTTCAAATCTGTAATATTTGGTCTAAAAACGTCTTTTTGCTGCTCATACGGGTGGAGCAGTGGTACTGCAGGCTAATTTGCATATTGGTTAACGGCTCTCCACGGTGACGTGTCTTCTCCACAGTTTCGTCACAGCGGCTGTGTTCTGGTATAAAAGCCTCTCTCTAAGACACGCCCCTGCAGCAGTCAGAGGGTGGAGCTGTTACCATAGCATGAATGATCTTCTGGTCTGTTGACTCTCCTTCAGCCTCGGGCGCCTCCCTCCCTCTCCCCCTCTCTCTCTCTCCCCCTCTCTCTCTCTCTCTCACACACACACACACACACACACACACACACACACACACACACACACACACACACGTGCGATGAATAAAGGGCAGAGAGCGCAGCGACAGCTGCATGTCCGCGATCAGCTGACTTGATCATTTTAAATGAAATATGTCATGAATCATTGTCATGAAACTTTACTTTTTACAAAACATAATTTATTTAGAACGATCAGAAATGTTAGCTTCTCAAAATAAGCCAGCTGTCACTTTCTCTCGTCCTGGCCACCCCCACCCACCCCCCACCCCCTGTAATGTGCACTGTGGGCATTTTTTAAAATTCGATGAGTGGGCCAAGATCCCTCTGCAGCGCTGTAAATGACTCATTGCCAGTTATCGCAAATGTTTTATTGCAGTTGTTGCTGCTAAGGGTGGCCTGACCAGTTATTGGGTTTAGGGGGCATTTGAATTTCTTTTCCCTTTAATAATAAAGCCAATCATTTATGAACTGCATTTTGTGTTTATTTGTGTTATCTTTGTATGATATGTAAATTAGTTCTGAAACATGTAAGTGTGACAAACGTAAAAGAATCAGAAATCAGGAAAAGGGCAAACACTTTCTGACACCACTGTAAGTATGTGTCTATATATACAGTGTGTGTGTGTGGGGGGGGGGGGGGGGGTTCTTATAGGATTAAATGTTCTGCACTTAGATTAAACCATACCTGAATTCAATGATGTCGATGCTCTTAAAGCCCTGCAGTCTCTCAAAGACGTCTTCAATCTATGAGGAAACCATGGCAGGAGACCGTTAAACCACAGAGATCAAAGCATTAAACCATGAATATTTAATATGTGATACACACAAAGATTTATTTAATTTATTTCAATTCAGTTTATTTTGTATAACACCAAGTCACAACAAACTGAAAATATGGGACAATAAGATCCTTAATATAAGATGAAGCTTGGTTGTTAAGAGCTTTATATGTTAGGAGTAATATTTTAAATTCTATTCTGAATTTGACAGGGAGCCAGTGGAGAGAAGCTAAAACTGGAGAAATATGATCTCTCCTTCCAACTCTCATTAAAACTCTAACAGAAGCATTTTAGATTAACTGAAGACTTCTTAGAGAGTTTTTGGATGTCCAGATAATAAAGAATTACAGTAATCTAGCCCAAACGTGATAAATGCATGAATCAGTTTTTCTGCATCATTTTTGGACAAAATGTTTCTAATTTTAGTGATATTACGCAGGTGGAAGAAGGCGGTCCTGGTAACATTTTTAATGTGGGGGTTAAAAGACATATCATGATCAAAAATAACACCAAGTTTCTTTACATTAGAACTGGAGGCCAGATTAATGCCATCCAGAGGGGGTGAAAGGCTGCAAAGTTTATTTCTAAGATGTTCAGGTCCAAAAACCATAACCTCTGTCTTATCTGAGTTTAGAAGCAGAAAGTTAAGAGTCATTCAGGTTTTTATGTCTTCAAGACATGCTTGTAGTTTAAAGGGGACCAAATATGCAAAATTCAATTTTTTCTGTTTTTAACTTACATTTGGGTCTGTACTGCTTCTAAAAACAATCCGAGCACCAAAAAAATGCACTCAGATGTATTTTTACTATAAGTATATGTGTTTTTCTGTGTCTTGAAATGACCTGTTTTCAAACACTGCTACTTGTGACATCACAAGTCTCACTACAGCCCACCCCAACCTGAGCCCAGCTCGTCTCCTGGTAACCCAAGCAGAGACTCCGCCCACTTCTTCACAGGACGGTTCTGCTGTTTTAGAACAGTCATGGAGAACAGAGATGTGTGGCTTAATGTTATCCATCCATCCATCCATTTTCTGTACACGCTTATTCCTTTTTTCAGGGTTGCGTGGGTCACTGGTGCCCATTTCCAGCAGTCACAGTGCGGGCTTTCTTATACTGTATGTTAGCAGGCTGTCTCTCCAAGTAAAATAAAATTATTCTGTTAGTGGTGTGCTTTTTCTATCCAGTTTTCTAGATGCCTGTTTTAAAGAACCTAACTCTGAATTAAACCAAGGAGTCGGCTTCCTCCGATGGATAACTTTCTTTTTAGGGGAGCAATTTCATCAAGAGAGGTTTGTATTAAAGTTGTAATATTATCAACAAGATCATCTAAGTTACTGTTCTCTGTTACATTATTCTGTAACACAGAGGAAAATAAAAATGGAAGAGATTTTTTAAATTTGGCTACAGCGTTCTTTAATAAACATCTACTAATGAAATGAAGATGGAACCTTTGTGGTTAAATTGCAATCATCGACATCCAGGGGTTAAATTGTATTTACTATACTACATTTACAGGCATCCGAAGGTTAAACCCTTAATATTTGTAAAGTGAAAATTCATATGCTAATAACTGAACAAAATATTTGGAAGAATCTGTTAAAGATTAAATTAATTTAACACAAGTTAGGAAATCTCTGAGGTGTGAAGCTAAAATATTTATATAAAGTCTTATGAAACACTTTTGAGAGCATCTGAAGATCTCTGACACACTTTATGTTGTTTTACTTGGTGAAATCTACAGCTGAAGACTTTTATTTGGAAGGAAAACCCTAATATCTCCAGGCCTCAATGGCCCATGGCTGCACTCTCCTGCTGTTTCTATTTGTGCAGTTATCCACTTCATATTCCCTCATTAAAGACCCTGATCTCGACACTCGAACCATAAACCAGCTCCCCACGTCACAAGCGTGGAGCACAGCCTGAAAACCTCCCAGTGGAGCGGGAAAATACCGGCGCTCTGCTTTCCTGGCAGCTCTTGTTTTTTTCCACCGGTGAGTCACGGCTTGTATCCTGGAAGTTCTCTGCAGATAACTGCTTGCTAGCTGGCAGCCTCCAACTGACTGAGCACTAAAGCGTGAAGATACTTAAAGTGTGAAAACCAGGAGAGGCCTTTAAACCAGAGCCAAACTCCTGAGTCGGCAGTTCGAGGAAAACCACAAGCGAGTTTGGTAATAAGTGTCCTGGACATCAGGGAGGAAATTAAAGAGAACTCAAAAACAAGAAAATAATAACTTTTACAAGAATCTGGTACCAATGCTATGCAGTCAGAAAAAAGTCCGAAAAAGTGGTCCAGAATGGGTCATACTTTGAGTACAGTCAACACAAAAGCAATGTTTTTAGGGCATTTAGCATCCTTTTAAAAACCTTTGCCTGTCATTTACAGCAGCGTTGAACAGTGGATGTGTAACAAGACACTTATCTTACAATAAGAGATTTCAACATATTTTTCTTAAGTAGCAATTTTTGCCACAAAGTGAAATTCAAACAAAAATACAAACATGTTGCTTTGTCAAAGTCATATGACAAGTTTAACATAAAGATTTAATAGCATCTTACCATAAAATGACTGGTAAAAATTATAGTCTTCTATAAGAATATTATTCTTATATTACATAGTAATGTTATTACTTGAGGAAAGTAAAGAATTAATATATCTGACATTTATTGTGCTTAAAATCAAAAGTTCAGATATAAAATGTACTTAAGTATTAAAAGTAAAAGTATTGATTAAAAGTGAGTGATTATAATTTCCAGAAAGACATTTATTGGGATGTGAACATCCACAAAAAAATTTCTTAAGGCCATTTTGACTTGACCATATTGACTGAATCTTATTCATTCATTCGTTCATTCATTCATTCATTCATTCATTCATTCATTACACAATCTTATTCCTTGAACCAAAGTACATCGGTCCTTCAAATATGTTCAAATTTTAGGTTTTACAAACATCTCTAGTCTCTTAAGATTATTATTATTACTTACTCTCTTAACAAAATCTGATCAGATGTTTAAAGGTAGTACTGTACATTTTTTGAGCCCTATACATGACATGCAATGTATTATAATTAACCAACTCATTACATTTTTAATCATTTCAGTTGATAAAATTATGTATTAGATGGGTGACTGTAGTGTTTTCTGATTATTCTTACAGCTCATTTGTGTAAAATAAAAATAGGATTTGTAATTGTTTTGCATGCTTTACCCCAGACAAGTGCGTACATTATACACCATATACAGTGTTTTATCATTAAATAACTCCTTGGCTATTTTTGTTCTTAAACAATTTATGTGAGATTTCCATGTCAGCTGTTGGGTGTCAATGATGACACCCAAAAACTTTACCCCACTGACTATACAAATCTCAACATGTTATCTGATCATCGATTTCAGCTAAAGAGCTCCTGTTCGTCTGTCTCAGGTTAGTGGACATCATTCAGGAAACCGTCCCGTCGGAAAATGTGTCTCTCTGATTGGTTGACGTGCCGTATCGAGCTGCAAAAGTTCCGATTTTCCAACTCCAGCATTCGATGTGCGATTTCGCTCTAATCGCGCTAGGCACGCCGCAGCACTTCCTGACGCTGCTTGACACAAATCCACCATAGATTTTGCATGTAAACCTGACGCTCAAAACGCGTTTGGTGTGAACGCACCATTAGTCTTTCACCATGACATCTTGTTGATAAATAACAGGTTTATTCAGTAATTCATTCTCGAGTATAAAACATAGAATGGTAACCATCAGACTATATTTACGTACCATTTCCTCCCCTGAGAAAGCTCTTCTATGTATAAATCCATTCTGGCTAGTAAAACATGAGCGTTACTGTGTTTTTACTTAGACACTTTTTTTTCTGCATTACTTTTTGTCGGCAGGGTCAAAATTCGAATTAAAAATTCTTATCTGATAGCACTCTGAAATTAGTCATATTATGTTCCTACTTTGTTGTGATGTTTTGAAGGCTAATTATCAGACAAAACACTCAGAGACAGCCCATATAAATCTGAACTCTAACCAGGTGACTGGACAAACCATCTCTTATAAGTGATTTTAATATAAATAAATAATTGGTGAAGCATTAAGTTTAGATTCTAAGCTTGGGGTAAAAATGTAATTTCTTAGAAGTTTGCTCTGCTGAACCAACAAACATAAAAAGACCATTCCTGCACATTTATAGCTTGTCTCTTAGTGGCACTCACCTTGCGTTTGAACTTTCGGGCCAGCTGCTGGTACTCGAAGCTGGTTGGGTCCCTCAGAGCATCGTTGTAGGTTTCTCCTCTCAGCTTGATCCTCAGCTCCACCACCTGGTCCTTCAGTGGCCGTGGGGGTCGAAGTAATGTGTCATCAATCTCATTACCGACCTAAACATGAGATAATCTGGCATTACCATGGGTCTTAAAGTATCATGTCATTCAAAAGTAACTAAACTGTGTCTGCTTACCAAATTATGCTCGTCTTCCAAAAAGAAGCCATTGTTTCCAAGTAAGTTATCCTCTTCTTCATGAATCAGTTCTGTTAAAACTGGGAAGTTTCCATTGTTGGTTTCCACCACATACTTGGTTGTGACCTCTATAGTAGAACCTTTTACTGTTGTTGTATATTGTGTACTCTCTGTTGGGACCACTACAACTGTTTCTGGAGTAATCTCATGAAGTGGCTCAGGTGTGGCTTCCACAGGAGACTCCGGTATGGTTTCATCAACAACTTCAGTTGCCTTGGCACTGTCCTCGCTTGGTGGAAGCTCTTCAGGTTTGCTGGTTTCCACCTCTGAAGTCATCCCTGGATGGCCTTCAATCACAAACTCCCCCATAACAGGGTCAGGTTTGGCTACTTGAGGAGTGGTCTCCTTGGTGGTTTTTGATGGAACCAACACCTCAGTGCCTGGCAATAGTTCTTCTACATCTTCAGGGACAACAAATATTACAGGGGTAATCTCATCTTCAGTCTCTGTGGGGGTCTCTAGAACAAACTCCTCTAATGTGTCTGCAGTTTCTTCTTTTCTCTCAGTTATGTCCTCTGTGGTCTCAAACGTTCCATCTTTTTTGTCTTCGAAAGGTCCACTTTCAGCTCTTTCTTGGAATTCATCTACAGTTTCTTTTGCATATACATATGGGGGTTCTTTTTCTCCTACAGATTTATCTTCCTGTTCAATTGTCACTGTGGGTTCTGGTTTCTGTGTAATTCTTTCCTCATAATCTGCTTCTTTTGTTGGTTCTGATGGGGCTTTTGTCTTTTCCACCTCAGTTGCTCGATTTCTGATGGCTTCTTCTTCAGGTGCTGGTTCTCTGGAAAGTTCAATGTTGTTTTCTGGTGCAGCTTCTCTGGTAGGTTCTCCCTCATTTGCTGGTTCTCTGGCAGCTTCTGTTTCTTGTGTAAGCTCACCTATGGGTTCCAATGTTTCCACAACTTCTTGTACAAGTTCAGGTTCTTGTAAAGTTTGTTTTGTGGATTCTGCTTCTTGTACTGGTTCCCTTGTGGGTTTAGATTCTCTTGTTGGCTTTATGAACGTACTGATTTCTTGGGTTGGTTCTCCACTGGGTTCGATTGTTTCTGTTTTAGACAAATTTTCATTTTGTGCAGTTGGTTTATTTGTTGGTTCTATTTCTTCTGTTAATTCTTTAATAGGTACAGTTTTTTGATCTGGTTTCTGAGTGGGTTTTGCTTCGTGTGCTGGTTCTTTTGTGGGTTCTGGCAACAGGATTGGCTCTCTTGTAGATTCTGGTGTCACTTGCTTTGTGGAATCCATTTCTTGTGCTGGTTTAATGGTTGGTTCTGCATCTTGTGTAGATTCTTTACCAGGTTCTACTTTGTGATCTGTCTTAATTATTGGCTTTATTTCTTGGGCTGGTTTAATGGTTGGTTCTGTTTCTTGTTTTGATTCTTGAGGGGGCTCTGCATCTTGAGCTGGTTCAATGGTCAGTTCCATTTCTTGAGCTGGTTTAATGGTTGGTTCCATTTCTTGATCTAGTTTAATGGGTGGCTCTGTTTCTTGAGCTGGTTTAATGGTTGGCTCTGTTTCTTGAGCTGGTTTAATGGTTAGTTCTGTTTCTTGTGTAGATTCTTTAGGGGGCTTTGCATCTTGAGCTGGTTCAACAGTCAGTTCCATTTCTTGAGCTGGTTTAATGGTTGGCTCTTCTTGTGTAGATTCTTTACCAGGTTCTACTTCTAGATCTAGGTTAATGGTTGGCTCTGTTTCTTGAGGTGGTTTAGTGGTTGGTTCTGTTTCTTGAGCTGGTTTAATGGTTGGTTCTGTTTCTTGAGCTGGTTTAATGGTTGGTTCTGTTTCTTGTGTAGATTCTTTATCATGTTCTACTTTTTGATCTATCTTTATTATTGGCTTTGTTTCTTGAGATGATTTAATGGTTGGTTCTGTTTCTTGAGATGGTTTAATGGTTGGTTCTGTTTCTTGAGATGGTTTAATGGTTGGTTCTGTTTCTTGAGATGGTTTAATGGTTGGTTCTGTTTCTTGTGCAGATTTTTTAGCAGGTTCTACATCTTGAGCTGTTTTAATGCTTGTTTCTTTTTCTTGTGTTGATTCTTTGGAAGTTTCCATTTCGTGTGATGGTTGAATACTTGTTTCTGTTTCTTGCATGGATTCTTTAGCAGTTTCTACTTCTTGAGTTGGTTTAATGGCTGGTTTTATTTCTTGTACGAATTCTTTAGTGGGTTCTAGTGGAACAGGTTTAATGGTTGGTTCCATTTTCTTTGTTGATTTTTCAATGGATTCTACCTCTTGAGCTTGTAAAATGGTAGGCGTAGCTTCTTTTGTTGATTCTTTAGTCGGTTCTACTTGTTCAAGTGGTTTTCCTATGGGTTTTTCTGATAGTTCTTCAGTGGCTCTTGGTTCTTTTTCTGTAACCTCTGCTTGTTTTGTTAATTCTCCTGTTGGTTCTGAAGGCCTATGTGTAATTTCATTTTTGAATGCCCTATCTACTATGGGTTCTGTTGAGGACTGTGTTTTTTCTAAAGTTTGTTCATCAGGGTCCACTTCTTGTGCTACCTCCTCTCTGTGTTTGGCTTCTTCTTTAATACCTCCCACAAGGTCTGCTTCTGGTGGTAGTTCTACTGTAAAATTAGTCTCTTTTGTTGTTATTTCTACAGGTCGTGGATCTTTCATGTCAGCTCCAGTAAATTCTGCTGCCTCTTCTTCCGATTGTGGCTCCTTTGTAACACTGAATTTCTCTTGCTCATTGGGTTCTATTGGTATTTTGGTTGTATATACTGTTTCTGCTGGCCTGGCTAGAGTTTCTCCAGTTTCTATAGTAGTATCCTTTGTCCGAACAGCTTCCCTTTGTTCCAACTCAGCTGTTTCATCTTTAATAAGAAGAGAAATTTCATCCTGTTTGACCTCAGCCTTTACCTCCTCTACTGGCTTGGCAGTGTCTTTGGTCAGAATAGTTCCTATTGTTGGCTTATCTTTAGTGACATCTTCATCATTGTTATCTTGTAAAACCAGAAAAGGTTTGGTGGTAACTTCAACAACTAGTGTTGGGCTTTCCCCAATTATCAAAATGGAGGTCTGAGAAGAAATTTCCATTTCCAGTTCATGTTCTGAAATTTCATTTACAGAGATTTTAGCCTCCTGTTCTGGATTTGTTATGAGCAACACAGTTGGTATGGTCTCTGTACCAACCTTGGTTTCCAAGGAATTGTCAAGACCTTCCTCATCTAACATCAAAAGACCTTTAGTGGTAGTTTCAGAAGAATGTTCTAACACCACCTCTGCTGGAATGTCAGAGGTCATCTCTGGAGGTCCCTCATATCCTGATTCCACCACAGTAAAGGCTTCAAAAAGAGGTTTTAAGGTGGGCTCTTGAAGAACCACAACAGCAACTTCTGTGGGTTCTTCTGACTCTACATTCTCTGACGATGGCTCCTCAATTTCTGGGCTAAACACTCCAATATCCTCCAAATCTTCAGGAATAATTTTCACAACAACCTCTTCCCCTGTTCGTTCTGGAACAGTTTTGTCTTTACCGCTCTCCTCATTCATTCCATCAATGAGAACAACACTTGAGGTTGTCTCTACAGTCTCCTCAGCATTGACTCCAGCAGTTAAAACCTCAGTTTTAATGGTGACCTCAGCTGTATTTTGTGATGCAACACTGCCTCCAGTTTCTTTGATATCATTAGAGTCTTCTGGCATTGCACCAGCATTGGGGTCAGAGGTTAAATCCACAGGAATCTTAATTGAAGATATTGTAGCCTGAAGTGAATCTTCAGTCATCAATTCAAAACCAGCAGGAGGCTTGTCCTTTGTAATGCTGATAGTTTCTTTTCCACTGATGGCTGTTACTCCTGTAAAATAGCATCAGAAGAAAGGATTAAACATTTCTTTCGGAGGATCATCATTACTTGAAGCTTTTTGTTGACACAAGAATAATACCTTCTAAGAAGGTTGTGCATCTGTGTTTAAAAGAGGCCACCTGTTAGTAATGTCAACGCCAATTTTATTTGTATAGCCTGTTAAAAACAAGGTTGATCAAAGTGCTTTCTAGTGGATTGAAGACATGAAAAATGATCAAAAATCACATTAAAACCACACATAAAAAACAACAAATCTGTTTAAATAGGCTAAAAACACGTAAATGCCTCAACATAAAGACTTGATGGGACCCAGTCTGAACTCAAATAAAGAGAGAGCAGACATAAAAATACCTATGTGATAAATGGATTCAAACCACAACAGAACATGTTCATGTCTTGACATAAAAATGTCACTGACAAAATCAAAGGCAACAGTTACTGTAAATCTGAACCAAAAAAGCAGCAATCTAAGTTTATACCTAAAAGATCATTTAAAACCCATAAAATTTGTCCTTTATGGGTTTTTAATGGTCTTTGTCTTTTTGCAAATTAAAAATAGTCTCATATGAACTCAAGCAGAAATTTGTTTTTAAACATAACATGAACGAGTCTAAAGATTCTCAGTAGGCTATTATAGCTTTTAAAAAGTTCAACTTATAGAATAAAAATGTCAGCTGTGTAAAGTTAAGTTTTTCTACAAGAAACTCATGTTTGAAATGTTGCAAATGGTTTAGAAACCAAGATTTGGGGACAATTTTACATTCAAAGAACAGTGACTGTGGTAGCATTTCATTGTTGGAAATCAAGATATGACGTTCTTTGAAAGTGAAGCTAACCTGTTAGCGTA